TTACTGTGCTACACTAAATATAATTTGAAGTGTACAGAACACACATAGTGGGTTACCTGTGGTTTTACTGGGCCACAATAAACCTTTTCATAGTTCAAGAATCGATTCCACTGCGYATGCGATTTTATCCCGAATTTCTGACCTTCTTTTGTCTAAACCTTCTTTTGTTCTAATTAATCTTACTGTGCTTAATATAATTTGAAGCGTACAGAACACACACATTGTGGTATTACTTTGCACAAGCATTGGGTTACCTGTGTTATTACTACAACATTATTTTTTAAGTTCATAAAGCCAATAGAACTCAGTTTCCTTCGCAATGAAATTTTAAATCGACAAAGGCCACACAGTTGAGGATGCAGAAATGTATTTAGGTGTCAATCATGTCCATAGAAGTGTCAATCAATATACATGACAGTTGAGTAACTGAGTAATTGAAAGGGATCACACTATTGTCTCTTGATTATAAAGTCTATTTGAGTCAGGTGAAGAATAGTACAACAGTATAGCCTTGTTAAAGCCATTATTTATCCTGGTTAGTTTTACTGACGAGCGCGCTTGCTGCCATCTTTATGAAATGGCTGCAATYTTGTTGGTTGAATGCAATGCGACAATCATGCATAAACTAAACATCAGGAAATCACTAGTCGTCTCGTGCAAACAAGTTAATTTTACTGTTCGTAGTGTTCAGKACATTTTAAACGTTATTAGGCTACACAATGGCGCGCAACCATTTCATTTACAGATCATTAAACAGGTCACCATGCCACAAAAGAAAAGAAACAATTGCCTTGATAGTGAATAATCTGATTACAATSTACTGAAATCATATTGGTGACTGCTAAAATCAAATCTAATAGTCATATATTGAATATTCAAGCGTCTATTGAGCTTTGTGTAATAATGTTGCTGGAGTCAATGTCTCATAATGACAATAGGGTCTSTAACTTAAAGCAGTACTTTATTCTTACCAACTTCATATTGTTTAGTTTGCAATTTTGTGGCATTTACCATACACGTACTTTTTGTGGATGAGCAGGCCTCKTTTCTTCAGTTCTCTGTGAATGTGTGTCGACAGGTTCAGTCTTCTTTCCAGTCGCCTTCCTTTCAGCTTTCTCTTCTTTGAGTTCGCTTTACAGAAAAGATTCGTCGAGCAGGGACAAGTGAAATCTGCCGGCTGAAACAACAGAAAAGGGGTTGATTWTACATCCGTAGAAACATCGGGCCTTTTTTTTGGTGAAAACGTTATGGCAAACTGTAAAGGGAACTCCTTGACTGAGTGATTGAGTTGGTCACGTGACGTCTTTCTTGCATACAAATATTGATTTGATGGTTAGGTGTAAAGAGAGTAGGAAAAAGAAAAACGTTTCGAAAACTAAATCTACTTTACCACAGGCAGCCCAAGTTCTGTCACGTCGAAAAGAAGCCTTGGGCTCCCTGTGGTCAGTTGTGTTGTTGGTCAAGCCAGCCTACCTGCGTAACACATGGATCTCCTCTTGTAGAAATATGCTTACATATGCCAAGCTTGGTTAAGCAACACATGCCRGGTCCACAGTCACCATCGYGACTACAGTTTCCACTGGGTGGATGTAGTGCTACCATTGATRTKGTGCACACTCCCAGACCTGTCTGTTGTCTTCTTGTTGGAGAACAGCGACGTCCACTGCTGCATTTTCGTCTTCGTTTTTTAGTTGYAGCCACAGAAACATGCTGATGACAGAATTCATTTATATTGCAGTCAGAATCTTTGCTGCACCTGCCGTGTTTGGGTGGAGGTGAAGGCAAACCACTACCAGACAGRTTTTTAACTTGTAAACAAGTGTTGGTCATATTTCGACAGTATTGTCCAGGAAGGCAGTCAATATCTCTGGTGCAGTTATACTTTACTGRTGGTGTTGTTACGTTCTGAAATACTGTCAGTCTTTCTAAACATATTTTGAAGAAATCATGGCAGTAGCGRTTSTTGCCACAGGTTGAGTCATTTCTGCAGGAYTGAGTAGAGCGTCTTGCMGTAGACATGGTTGGTATGACKGGAATATCCAGACACTTGTGAAAGGTTTYGTGGCAGTATTTATTGTTTGTGCAGTCAYCGTCGTGCTTACAGTCTGATGCTGTGGGTTTCTTGTTATTTCTTGTTGATGGAGGGGTRAKAGTCTTCAGACAMATTTTGAATATTGAATGACAGTATTCATTAGCCAWGCATTTCTTGCAGATTGGTTTTGAACTTCGTCTTCCCGGGACAGTCAAGGAGCCTTGTTTTGCTACRCATATCTTGAGCAAAGGATGACATGTTTGAGAGATGACATTGCAGTCCAAGTCTTTATTGCATTTCTTTGCCTGTTCAAGGAAAGAAGAACATATCAATATAGAATAAGTTTAGTGRTCCGTTACTTTTCCATTGGCGATGCTCGTTATGATGCAAGCTGAAGGGATCCAAATCTGATACTCAGCTGAAAACCTCTTTATAGACTCTTATCAAGATAAGATATCGTTCATAATAATAACTCTCGCGTGTTTTAAACGAGCCAATAGAAACGTTTTAGTTTACTCAGTGTTGAGCATTTCACTCTCTCCAAGTTCAAAGTTCTTTGAGTGGAATTTTGATTTGCTTTGAGATTACGTTAATTTCTGTCAAAATGTTTGAATTTGCAGCCATAACTCAATGTGAGATGATGAAGAAATCTAGGATCGCGTGCGAGGATCCGTTGCTTAATATCCTTATTATGAGCACGATCGATAGATTGCACCGATATCTACCTCATTACATTTATAGACTACCTAACCACGCCTTCTGTCTGGGACATTTTTTCAATAGTCATTCGCGTAGCTTTCTGCTGCGTCAAATAAAATAAATCTCTGTAAAAGAAAACTTACGACTGACAAACATTACTCAACATTCTACTGTCTTGGCTCTTTACTACCAATTGATATTTTCACCATCAGTTTTTTTTTCTTTAAAAAAGTTTCTACTGTATTCTAACCAAGCTGATATTGTACGAGATTCTTTCTACAGAGAAGAGAACTGAAACCATGTAAAAAAAAAAGAAGATAAACACGCTTATTTGAACACTAAAGTCATCTGAATAAGCTAATTAATTTTTGAAAAAACAAAATTAATCGGAGATTTTCATCTTTTTTTGCGCATGATATTCTGGCGAAACATACAAAAGATAGAGTCAATCGTCCCAATGTTCTATTTCTAATAATATTTTTGTAGTTTTCTAGCACCTTGTTTGCTAAGACTCAAACAGGCAACAAACACACGACTTACATCTCATCAGTATTGTACAGCTCTTCAGTTCGACGTTCTTATTTTGATATCTGTCAGCATGAGTTAGATTTGTAAGCTGTRAARCTAGATTATACTCACCAAAAGTGCTGTTGCCCTYTTCGTGCTGATCACGGCCAGCCACAACATCACAGCATTAAACCACACAACGTACTTCATTGTCAGTCGAGTAAGTCCACAACACTTCTTGTTAGTATCTGTTCATAAGATCCGCTATGTCCTTGCTGTTGACTCGCACGTGAACCCTTTTCTCCTAATGAGTATTGCAGTTCTTAGGTATGCCGTTATTAAATGACCTCTTTGAAACGACTCATGCTTTGACAGAATACAGACATTTAGTCTGGCCTGGCGAGTTTACTGCCTTTTAATCTGTATGCTGTGTGTCAGTTCTTTGAAGTCCCGCCATAATCAAACATGGTATTAGAGGAATGATGTTGGATTGGGGATCTTTATTTACTTTCTTCCTCTTTGTAATTAATTTGTCGGCTTGATTTGAATACTTGTCTTGTGTACAGAAGACAACCAACAAGTACTCCGCGGAAGGATGTTACGTGAATCAAGGCGGAATAGAAACCAACAACTCACACCAGAATCTCGTCAAAGGGGGTATTTAAAGACCCTGACTAAACTGTTCAACATGAAACTGTATTTGAACAACAACTATTAATAGTGACAAATTCATTACTTGATATGTGGATCCGTGATGGCACTGTATAGTCCATCTATTCAACGCGTGAGGGCTGCTCGCTTTCACTAAGATAATCTGCCTTCAAGTGTAATGTCTTAAATGTGTTCTGATTAAAGATTATCCGTGTGATGCGACAAGAAARTCAGTTTCTGACGAGGTTTTGAGAACTTTTCAATTTTGTTTTTGCAAAGCATTTGTTTTAGATATAGACCTCCGATGGTCAGATTGGAAAAAAAACTACTTGGTATAATATACTTAGAGTCGTGCCCTGCCCTAGTTTTTCTCTAGTTTTCTCTGGAGTTTAATAAGCAGGCCTTTCTCTAATAACTCACTGCAGAGTAACATGCAGTGGCCAGTTGCATGTACTTCTAGAAATCCACGTACGATAAGGCACCGGAGGTGCTTACATGAAAAAATACGGTCTTTACCYGAAACCGCTGTTTTAACCTTAACCCTTAAATATTTTATTGACAAAACAATTTGACTGACCCCTTTGCTATCATGCCTTCTATTGATGAATCGGGGGGGGCGTTTGGGGGGTTAATTACGGCAATCCAATGATCCAAAAGCTTGAATAGAAATAATGATTTTTAACATAGCTTCCATAGGTTTCTTGTTGCAATTGCGGACATAGKACGATTTCGAGAGGGTGACTGTTATCTAGAAAGGCATCACACAGCATTCTTCTTAGGGTTTACCTTATCCTTTATTCTTATTATTTTTTCAAATTCAAAGGAAGGGGC